TGAACATCCACACACAACTGAACATCCACACACAACTGAACATACACACACAACTGAACATTCACACACAACTGAACATTCACAGACAACTGAACATTCACACATCACTGAACATCCACACACAACTGAACATCCACACACAACTGAACATTCACACACAACTGAACATTCACACACAACTGAACATCCACACACAACTGAACATCCACACACAACTGAACATTTACACATCACTAAACATTCACACACAACTGAACATTCACACATCACTGAACATCCACACACAACTGAACATTCACACACAACTGAACATTCACACACAACTGAACATTCACACATCACTAAAAATTCACACACAACTGAACATCCACACACAACTGAACATTTACACATCACTAAACATTCACACACAACTAAACATTCACACATCACTGAACATCCACACACAACTGAACATTCACACACAACTGAACATTCACACACAACTGAACATCCAGACACAACTGAACATCCACACACAGCTGAAAATCCTCACACAGCTGAACATCCACGCACATCTGACATATCTGTTTCCTATCCAACGCCAGCGTCTTTTCCTCACATCTTGGTCCACTGGAGCCTGTTTAGTTCTCTTCCAAAGCTCTACATTAGTTATTATTTCATACCATTTAATTCCCTCTTACTACGCAGGCACCAGTTCATAAATGTTTGTAATTTATTAGTAGTTGCCTTAGCTGTTCTTTGTGTTTCCGCCCCATACAAAAGTACTGATTTGACATTAGAATTACCCATTTTAAGTTTAGTATTTCTTTTTATTTCTTTTGACCTCCACAAATTTTCTAGTGATATGGAAGTTCCTCTTGTCTTTTGTATTCTTATTTTAATATCTCTATCAGTTTCTCCTTCTTAACTACATTACTGCCCAAATAGGTGTACGACTTCACGTCTTAGAGTGGGGGGCCATTAAGAGAAACCAAATTACTATTTGTCTGATAGATTCTCATCTGTGTTTTTCCTTTAGGGATTTTCAGACCTAAGCTGTTTGTGACCTCGCATCAAGTATATTTTAATTTATCTTGCATCTGATTCCTGTGAATTGGACAGACGAGAAATATCATCAGAGAAGTCCAGATCATCAAGCGTTTTGTAGGGGTCCACTGAATTCCATTCTTGGTGTTAGCGGTTACTGTTTTCATAATCCAGTCTATAGCCAGTAAAAATGAAGAGAGGGCCGACAAAAGGACATCCCTGTCGCACACCTGTTTTTATTCAAATGCATCGGTTTGCTTTCCCTCATAAAGAACTCAACATTTCATGTCTTTACATGTTGCCTTTACTGTTGATAATTTTCCATAGTGCCCCATCAATTTCCAGAGAGATTCCCTATCAACGCTGTCAAAAGCTTTTCCATAGTCTATAAATCCGATGTAAAGTGGTGAGTTCAGTTCAATGCTTTGCTCTATTATTATATGTAATTTGGCTACCTGGTGAGTACAGGATCTGTTGTGCCGAAAACCCGCCTGTTCATCTCTTAGCATTTTATCAATAGGATCTTTTAATCTTTCCAAAATAATTCAATCTAATATTTTTCCAGGAACTGGCAGCAACATAATTCCTCTTTAGTTTTCCCACTCCTGTAGACCACCTTTTTTTGGGCAGTTTCACAAGAAATCTTTCTCTCCAGTCTGCTAGTATTTCTTTGGTCTTCCAGACTTTACTGAATAATCTATGTAGCAATTTTGTTGATGTGTTTAAGGTGACCCTAAAGTCTTCCGCTGGGATACCATCTGGACCTTTCCTTCCCTGAGAAATTGATGGCTTTTATAATTTCCTCTTTAGACGGTATCTCACAGGTGATATCCAGTTCCATTTCTAAAGGCTGCTATTATTATATAACATTTATTTTCAAACAATATAATGCCTTTGAGACCCCCAACCCCAGACAATGAGCTTCCCTCTCCCTCTGATTCAGCCCTTCTTTTCCTTTGATCAGCACCGCCGAGAACCTACACACAAACCACGCATATAGACACCAAACACGAGCATAGACACCAAACATGGGTACAGACACCAAACACAGGCACGGACACCACACACGGACATAGACACCAAACATGGGTACAGAAACCAAGCACGGGTACAGACACCACACACGGGTACAGACACCAAACACGTGTATAGACACCAAACACGGGCACGGACACCAAACACGGCATAGAATTGGGCAGGCAGGCCAGGGCACCGACACCACACACGGACATAGACACAAAACACGAGCATAGACACCAAACATTTGTACAGATACCAAACACAGGCACGGACACCACACACGGACATAGACACCAAACACGGGTAAAGACACCAAACACGGGTACAGACACCAAACACGGGTAAAGACACCAAACACGGGTACAGACACCAAACACGGGTAAGGACACCAAACACGGGTAAAGACACCAAACACGGGTACAGACACCAAACACGGGCATAGACACCAAACGCAGGAATAGACACTAAACACGGCAAAGACACTAAACAGGAGCATAGTCACCAAACACGGATATAGACACCAAAAACGTATATAGATACCAAACACGAATATAGATACCAAACACGGATATAGACACCAAACACGGATATAGACACCAAACACGGATATAGACACCAAACACGGATATAGATACCAAACACGGATATAGACACCAAACACGGATATAGACACCAAACACGGATATAGACACCAAACACGGATATAGATACCAAACACGGATATAGACACCAAACACGGATATAGACACCAAACACGGATATAGACACCAAACACGGCATAGATACCAAAACACGGATATAGACACCAAACACGGATATAGACACCAAACACGGATATAGACACCAAACACGGATATAGACACCAAACACGGATATAGACACCAAACACGGATATAGACACCAAACACGGATATAGACACCAAACACGGATATAGACACCAAACACGGATATAGACACCAAACACTGGCATAGACACGAAATAATGGCTATAATGGCATCCGTCAGTCCCGGGGGACTATGGAGATGTGCCGCTGGCTTTGGGAACAGCATCTGCTGTGACTGTAAAGTCCAATGCGGGAATGGCAGTCTTTGCCACACAGGATACACACAAAAGCAGATACTCCCTCGTTGTGAGGCAGTTTTACTCTCCGGTGCCTCCTCTCCACAGCTCGTTGTGTTCCGTTTCTTTCAAAATGTGACAGTCCATCTTTCACTTTCTGTCTCCATAGTAGTCGATCTGCAGCTGATTTTTCCCATGTCTCTGTGCCTATGTTGGTATCTATTAGGTCACGTTTGCATACATCTTTATAGCGCAGCTTCGGCCTTCCTGTATGTCTATTCCCAGTTACCAATTCACCATATAGGAGATCTTTTGGAATACGACCATCCTCCATGCGGGAGACATGTCCCAGCCAGCGCAGACGTCTTTGCTTCAGTATACAATACATTGATGGTATTTTTGCTCTTGTGAGCACACATTCGTTGGAGACAAGGTCTCGCCATAATATACCAAGGATGCGTCTCAGACAGCGCATATGGAAGGTATTCAGTCTTTTTTCCTGTGGAGCATAGAGAGTCCAGGATTCGCAACCGTACAGTAATGTGCTCAGGACACAAGACTCATAAACCTTCCTTTTTGTAATATCAGTTAGCTTTTTGTTTGACCAGACTCTCTTTGTGAGATTTGCAAACATAGCAGAGGCCCTTTCCTATACGTTTGTTTTAGTTCTGCATCCAGAGAATGATTGCTTGAGATACGTGAGCCTAGGTACTCAAACTCATTTACAGCCAGCAGCTGATGGTCATACACACTAATGTTTGGTGGATTTCCAACATTCAATCCCATCACTTGTGTTTTGTTCAGACTGATGGTAAGCCCAAATTCTTTGCAAGCATTTGCAAAGCGATTCATCAGGATCTGCATGTCATCCTCTGAATGTGCCACAATGGCTGCATCATCCGCAAACAGAAAATCCCTGAGGCATCTCGTGTGCACCTTCGTCCTTGCACGTAGCCTGAACAGATTAAAAAGATTGCCATCTGACCTCTAACAGAGGTATATCCCCTCAGTTGCTGTCCCAAATGCACGCCTCAATAATGCGGTAAAAAAGATTCCAAACAGCGTGGGAGCCAGAATACATCCTTGCTTTACTCCATTTCGAATCTGGAAGGGTCGAGATGATGAATCCTCGTATATTATGGTCCCCCTCATATTCTCATGAAAGGATTCGATTAGGCTCTCGCTTCAAGTTGCTTTATTTTTCAACACACGCACATGACTATACATGAATCAATCTTTACGTTTTTTCCTTAGGCTAAATTTACAAGCACACAGGCACTTCAACACACACACACACACACACACACACACACACACACACTCGCACATATATACGTGTGCATGGAGACATTCTTAAAGTGTCAGTGGTTCGGTGTGTTGGTAGAAATCCTGACACGGATTCTAGCAGAGGCACACAACCCCACAATACTTTCTACAATAGATGATTGATAGGTCGCATGCTTAAATACTGTAGTTGACTGTCCCAATACTGTCTACAATAGGAATGCTGATATACTGTAGTTGACTGTCCCAATACTGTCTACAATAGATGATTGATAGGTCGCATGCTGATATACTGTAGTTGACTGTCCCAATACTGTCTACAATAGATGATTGATAGGTCGCATGCTGATATACTATAATTGACTGTCCCAAAACTGTCTACAATAAATGATTGATAGGTCGCATGCTGATATACTATAATTGACTGTCCCAAAACTGTCTACAATAGATTATTGGTTAGTCACATGGCTCTCAACAATTTAATCAATAACCCATTGGTGACATCACGTGACTCTCTACTATATAAACATTGACTTTAACCCATTACTGATGTCGGAAATATCGGGGATTGACAGTCACCCAAGTGACCTTTACTCCAACGGCCACTTACTTAGAGCGCCAACCGTCTGATTGGTAACCAAAGTCGCGCCCGTAATCACCGCCGGGGCGTCCATACCCTAAGCCTGACCCCCAGAGGGGAGCCCCAGGATAGAATCCTTGGTTGTCTAGGCCCCCGTAGTCTCGGCGATAGCGTCTGTTGGCCTGGCCAAAACCAGCCCCTCTAGAACTAGGGACTCCTGCAGTCGGCCCTGATTCTCCCCTCTCGTCTCCGGTCCTGTCCTGAGCTCTGGCAGATGGATTTCGGTTGCCACCTGGCAGCGGCCACCAGACATTGCTGGTTGCTTTGTTCTGTTTAAACTCATCTCCCCGAGACGCCGGGAAGCCGCCTCTCAACCAGGGCACTTGTGGGTATCTGCAAGACAAGGATGGTTGCTTTGGTTACTGATGAAACTGTTGTAACACTATTGTTACATTGATCACATTTAAAATAAACACACTCTCTCTTTCTCTCTCTCTCTCTCTCTCTTTCTCTCTCTCTCTCTCTCTCTCTCTCTCTCTCTCTCTCTCTCTCTCTCTCTCTCTCTCTCTCTCTCTCAATCACACATACACACACACTGTCTTACTCTCTCTCTCTCAATCACACACAAACACAACACACTTTCTCTCTCAATTACACATAAACATAAATACACACACACACAGGCTATCTTTTTCAATCAGACATAAACACCCCCCCCCACACACACACACACACCCCCCACACACACACACACACAAACGACAATCACTAAAATAAGAGACCACGAACATGCTCCACAGCTGCAAACACATGACATAGACAATTGTAGCATGTAAATCATTGGCCAATGAACATAGGACATGGATAATTGTGGAATGCAAAACATTGGTTAATGAATACATGACATGGATAATTGTGGAATGTAAAACATTGGTTAATGAATACATGACATGGATAATTGTGGAATGTAACACACTAGTTGACGAACACATGACATGGATAACTATTGAATATAACATGGTAGTTAACGAACACAGGATGTAGGAAAATGTGGATTGTGATGCACTGGATTATTGTGAAATGTGACACACTGGTTAACAAACAGATGATACTAAAACTCATACACCGGGCCCGGTTCTAGATCCGCCAAAACATACAACAGCAGACGTACATCAACAGAGGTCAGACACTTCACAGCATATGGGACAAGACGCTCACAGGGTGAAAAACAAGGAAGAAAATTATTATAGGTTATAATACCTAACTACAGTTGACATTATATATCATAGCAATTAATTACACTTCCATTGTATTGCAGACAGCAACAGGCATCGCAGGCACCATAATAATCCAAACTTCGCTATAGTACTACTGATGAGAACTACAGAAAATGTAACCGCAGTGGATAAGAACTACAGACAATGTCACCATTTTAGACAGATTTATAGACAGTATCACCATAGTGGATACATTTATAGACAATATTATCATAGTGGATACATTTATAGACAATATCACCATAGAGGATACATTTATAGACAATATTATCATAGTGGAGAGATTTATAGACAATATCACCATAGTGGATACATTTATAGACAATATCACCATAGTGGATACATTTATAGACAATGTCACCATAGTTAATAGATTTATAGACAATGTCACCATAGTTAATAGATTTATAGACAATGTCACCATAGTTGATAGATTTGTAGACAATGTCACCATAGTTAATAGATTTGTAGACAATGTCACCATAGTTAATAGATTTATAGACAATGTCACCATAGTTAATAGATTTATAGACAATGTCACCATAGTTAATAGATTTATAGACAATGTCACCATAGTTGATAGATTCATAGACAATGTCACCATAGTTAATAGATTTATAGACAATGTCACCAAAGTTGATAGATTCATAGACAATGTCACCATAGTTAATAGATTTATAGACAATGTCACCATAGTTAATAGATTTATAGACAATGTCACCATAGTTAATAGATTTATAGACAATGTCACCATAGTTAATAGATTTATAGACAATGTCACCATAGTTAATAGATTTATAGACAATGTCACCATAGTTAATAGATTTATAGACAATGTCACCATAGTTAATAGATTTATAGACAATGTCACCATAGTTAATAGATTTATAGACAATGTCACCATAGTTAATAGATTTATATACAATGTCACCATAGTTGATAGATTCATAGACAATGTCACCATAGTTGATAGATTTATAGACAATGTCACCATAGTTGATAGATTCATAGACAATGTCACCATAGTTAATAGATTTATAGACAATGTCACCATAGTTGATAGATTCATAGACAATGTCACCATTGTGGATGAGAACCAGAGACAAAGCTAGCATGGCTTTTCTTTGGCATCTTATTTCTCAAGTGTTTCAACACGTCTGCAAAATGTTTCTGTCCAGGAACTGGTCACAGATAAGGAATAATGCTCCGTGAAAATGTTTTAGTAAACTTCCACAAACAAATGAGAGAAATTGTGAGAAGTCTACATTCATTAGGCAAATACGAGAACACTGGGGGGGGGGGGGGGGGGGGGGGGGGGCGGGGGGGGCAGCATTAAACAATCGTGAGATTAGAGTAGACAGTGAGTGAGGGGGCGGGGGGGGGGGGAGGGGCAGCATTAAACAATCGTGAGATTAGTGTAGACAGTGAGTGAGGGGGCGGGGGAGGGGTGACAGGAGCGAGGAAATATGAATACTTGCCATAGCTCATACATGATGTGCAGTGACATGATCACCCAGCCAGCCGGGGACCAAGGCACTTTTTGTTGTTGTTGATGATGATGATGATGATGATGATGATGATGATGATGATGATGATGATGATGATGATGATGATGATGATGATGATGGTAGAGACAAAGAAGAAGCCTGAAAGAAATGACAAGCTGTACACGAGAGAAGATTCCAAACTGAGAAGGTGTAGACAGTGCAATGTATTGTGTGCAGGGCAGGAGTCCACTTACCCTGTTCTGGAGAACTGCTTGCCGCCAACACCTTCAGCAGCACCATACACCAGTAGCCAGCTGCAGACGACAGCCAGGGCGGCCATGGATCCACTTTCCAACATTGTTTCTCTTTGTCTCTGACACCTGCCAACCAACACACCTTCTCATTATTAATGTGTCTCTTTGTCTCTAGGACATGCCAACCAACAAATCTTTTCATTAACATTGTGTCTGTCTGTCTCTGGTACATGCCAACCAACACATATTTACATTAACACTGTGTCTGTCTGTCTCTAGTACATGCCAACCAACACATCTTTTCATTAACACTGTCTGTTTGTCTCTGGTACATGCCAACCAACACATCTTCTAATTAACATTGTGTCTGTTTGTCTCTGGTACATGCCAACCAACACATCTTCTCATTAACATTGTGTCTGTTTGTCTCTGGTACATGCCAACCAACACATCTTCTCATTAACATTGTGTCTGTTTGTCTCTGGTACATGCCAACCAACACATCTTCTCATTACCATTGTGTCTGTTTGTCTCTGGTACATGCCAACCAACACATCTTTTCATTACCATTGTGTCTGTCTGTCTCTGGTACATGCCAACCAACACATCTTTTCATTACCATTGTGTCTGTCTGTCTCTGGTACATGCCAACCAACACATCTTTTCATTACCATTGTGTCTGTTTGTCTCTGGTACATGCCAACCAACACATCTTTTCATTAACATTGTGGCTGTTTGTCTCTGGTACATGCCAACCAACACATCTTTTCATTACCATTGTGGCTGTTTGTCTCTGGTACATGCCAACCAACACATCTTTTCATTAACATTGTGGCTGTTTGTCTCTGGTACATGCCAACCAACACATCTTTTCATTACCATTGTGTCTGTCTGTCTCTGGTACATGCCAACCAACACATCTTTTCATTAACATTGTGACTGTTTGTCTCTGGTACATGCCAAACAACACATTTTTATTTGGGACCGCGTTAGCGCAGTCGATGGGAGACTTGCATTCAAATCCAGCTGCGACTCGCTGCAGCCGGTGTTCGAAACCGGGCGGCTCCCGGGGTTCACCCGGTCTCTCGGGATTGGGGACTAGAGTTAACACTCTGGGGTAAATAGAGGTACGTCGCTGTAGCTAAGGAGTTGTGTCCGGACGACGACACGGGCGGAAAGTTTCTGTACTAGAGACAGAGCACTTATGTTTTAAACCCGTGTGGTTCACATCTCCCAACATTTTACACCTCAACGTTGTTGTGTGAAGACAGTCAGTGACAAGCCTAATCAACGTTGTTGTGTGAAGACAATCAGTGACAAGCCTACTCAACGTTGTTGTGTGAAGACAATCAGTGACATGCCTACTCAACGTTGTGTGAAGACAATCAGTGACAAGCCTACTCAACGTTGTGTGAAGACAATCAGTGACAAGCCAACTCAACGTTGTGTGAAGACAATCAGTGACAAGCCTACTCAACGTTGTGTGAAGACAATCAGTGACAAACCTACTCAACGTTGTGTGAAGACAATAAGTGACAAGCCTACTCAACGTTGTTGTATGAAGACAATCAGTGACAAGCCTACTCAACGTTGTGTGAAGACAATCAGTGACAAGCCTACTCAACGTTGTGTGAAGACAATCAGTGACAAGCCTACTCAACGTTGTGTGAAGACAATCAGTGACAAGCCTACTCAACGTTGTGTGAAAACAGTCAGCGACAAGCCTACTCAACGTTGTGTGAAGACAATCAGTGACAAGCCTACTCAACGTTGTGAGGACACAGTCAGCGACAAGCCTACTCAACGTTGTGTGAAGACAATCAGTGACAAGCCTACTCAACGTTGTGTGAAGACAATCAGTGACAAGCCTACTCAACGTTGTGTGAAGACAATCAGTGACAAGCCAACACAACGTTGTGTGAAGACAATCAGTGACAAGCCAACACAACGTTGTGTGAAGACAATCAGTGACAAGCCTACTCAACGTTGTGTGAAGACAATCAGCGACAAGCCTACTCAACGTTGTGTGAAGACAATCAGCGACAAGCCTACTCAACGTTGTGTAAAGACAATTAGTGACAAGCCTACTCAACGTTGTGTGAAGACAATCAGTGACAAGCCTACTCAACGTTGTGTGAAGACAATCAGTGACAAGCCTACTCAACGTTGTGTGAAGACAATCAGTGACATGCCTACTCAACGTTGTGTAAAAACAATCAGCGACAAGCCTACTCAACGTTGTGTGAAGACAATCAGTGACAAGCCTACTCAACGTTGTGTGAAGACAATCAGTGACAAGCCTACTCAACGTTGTGTGAAGACAGTCAGTGACAAACCTACTCAACGTTGTGTGAAGACAATCAGTGACAAGCCTACTCAACGTTGTTGTGTGAAGACAATCAGTGACAAGCCTACTCAACGTTGTTGTGTGAAGACAGTCAGTGACAAGCCTACTCAACGTTGTTGTGTGAAGACAGTCAGTGACAAGCCTACTCAACGTTGTGTGAAGACAATCAGTGACAAGCCTACTCAACGTTGTGTGAAGACAATCAGTGACAAACCTACTCAACGTTGTGTGAAGACAATCAGTGACAAGCCTACTCAACGTTGTGTGAAGACGATCAGTGACAAGCCAACTCAACGTTGTGTGAAGAAAATCAGTGACAAGCCTACTCAACGTTGTGTGAAGACAATCAGTGACAAGCCAACTCAACGTTGTGTGAAGACAATCAGTGACAAGCCAAATCAACGTTGTGTGAAGACAATCAGCGACAAGCCTACTCAACGTTGTGTGAAGACAATCAGTGACAAGCCAACTCAACGTTGTGTTAAGACAATCAGTGACAAGCCTACTCAACGTTGTGAGGACACAGTCAGCGACAAGCCTACTCAACGTTGTGTGAAGACAATCAGTGACAAGCCTACTCAACGTTGTGTTAAAACAATCAGTGACAAGCCTACTCAACGTTGTGAGGACACAGTCAGCGACAAGCCTACTCAACGTTGTGTGAAGACAATCAGTGACAAGCCAACTCAACGTTGTGTTAAAACAATCAGTGACAAGCCTACTCACCGTTACGTCTGTGATGGAATACAAAAATCTTCTCCCTTGTAGCTAAAAGAACTTCGCCAGTTATATCGCCAAGTATGTGCAGCGAAAGGTTGCTGTCGACTGTCGTCAGAAAGTGCCTTATATGCGTGTCTGTGGGAGCCCCGACTTAAAGATTTGTTGTCTCGACCTTGGAGGTCGGGCAATGATACCAGGACACACCCTCCAGCTGCACACATCTTTTCTGTCCACGTAAACCTAATGACGTCATGGCACTCATTTATCTTGTCCTAGCGATTATTAGCTGGCTAAAACAAATTTGTCAGTGGCTTCATTGTTACAAATACACATGTATTCTTTATTATATCTTAGACACACACCTGTTTACCTGCAATCTTTCCACCAGTATTTTTTATTATATCTTCTGTTTACATGCGATCTTTCCTCCAGTATTTTTCATTGTATCTTAGACACACGCTTATTTCAATCCAATTTTTCCTCCAGTATTTTTCTTTATGTCTTAGAGATACAGCTATTTACCGGCATTTTATCTTCCAGTATTCTTCATTACATGAGGCGGGGGAACTGCTTAGACATACGTATGTTTGCATGCCATCTTTCTTCGAGTACTCTATTATGTCTTAGACATTCAACTTTTGTATGCGATCTTCCCTCCAGTGTTCTTCATTACATGAGGCGGGGGAACTGCTTAGACATACATATGTTTACATGCCATCTTTCTTCGAGTACTCTATTATGTCTTAGACATTCAACTTTTGTATGCGATCTTCCCTCCAGTGTTCTTCATTACATGAGGCGGGGGAACTGCTTAGACATACATATGTTTACATGCCATCTTTCTTCGAGTACTCTATTATGTCTTAGACATTCAACTTTTGTATGCGATCTTCCTCCAGTATTCTTTATTATATCTTAGACCATAAACCATCTGACACTCTTTGTGGAGTTAAAACCCAGTCGTGGTGCATCTGTACTTTACTTGTGGTCATTAGTGCTAAAAACACCAGTCGTGATGCATCTGTACTTTACTTGTGGTCATTAGTGCTAAAAACACCAGTCGTGATGCATCTGTACTTTACTTGTGGTCAGTAGTGCTAAACAATCCAGTTGGGTACGACCATAACCCTGTCAGAGATCTTGCTGAGTCAGTAACCCAGCAGGTGGGAAAATCGAAATGTAACCCAGGTCATGGGAGCCGAAAATTTAATCCTGGGTTGTGGTCGATCAAAATATAAACGTGGGTTGTGGGTCCTGGTCGTTCGATCACATAGTCGTGGGTTGTGGTCGTTCCATAGCATAGCCGTGGGTTGTGTTCGTTCCATAGCATAGCCGTTGGTTGTGTTCGTTCCATAGCATAGCCGTTGGTTGTGTTCGTTCCATAGCATAGTCGTGGGTTGTGTTCGTTCCATAGCATAGTCGTGGGTTGTGTTCGTTCCACAATATAGCCGTCGATTGTGGTCGTTCCATCACCGAGTCGTTGGTCGTGGGTTATGGTGGTTCCATAACATAGGCTGTGGGTCTGAGTGAGGGTAAATGTGTGAGAAGTTCTGTGTGAGGGTGTAATTATCTACAATAGGTATCACTGAAAGTGTTTGTTGCGACCTAGCATAAAAGGGACATTCTGAACATAGCGATAGGACAACCCCGAGACCTGAAATATGACATTCTGAACATCGCGACAGAACAACACAGAGAAATGTCATATGACATTCTGAACATCACGACAGAACAACTCAGAGACCTGAAATATGACATTCTGAACACCACGACAGAACAACCCAGAGACATGTCATATGACATTCTGAACATCACGACAGAACAACTCATAGTCATGTCACATGACATTCTGAACATTACGACAGGCAACCCAGAGACATGAAATATGACAGACTGAACATCGCGACAGGACAACCCAGAGACATGAAATATGACACACTGAACATTACGACAGGACAACCCAGAGACATGTTATATGACATACTGAACATCACGACATAACAACTCAGAGACATGTCATGTTACATTCTGAACATC